TTCTAATTACTGCTTTAAGGGATCATACTCAGAAGGTGGGTTAATGAGCCAGACGCGTAAAGAGATTTATGGCTCAGCTTGTCCGTGGACGAGTATCCACAGACACCTTTTGGCTCTTTGTAACGCCTGTATACGTTAGAATAGTGTCATAGAAAAAAAAACTGATTTATTGCCAATTTAATTGGTGAGTAATAGTGACTGGTTTTCCATGGCTCATCCCTGTATTATCGGGACACTGAGTCTATTTCTCACGTGTGTGTGGATTGCCAGCATACTCTCTTTTGCAAATGGTTTGTTCGTGTTCTGGCAAAATTGCTGAGACTGTGGAGGGATAAAAAGCTCAGAGACAGCGAGGAAGCAAAGGAAGCCCCGAGCTGAGATAGTGAGGGTGGAGTCAGACAGGGTACAGGGGTGAGGGAGACAGAGTCCCAGCAGGGGACAGGGGTGAGGGAAGTGGAGTCATGGCAGGGGACAGGGGTGAGGGAGATAGAGATTTCTTTTTCCTAAAAGAATTCTCCTTTTTCCCTAAAGCTAAAAACATATTTTTTCACAAATTAAAAAAAAACACCTTGTGTTTTGATAGAAAGGAGTACAATAGTTTTTAGATTCTTAAATTTACATTTTTATATAGTAAGGGTTATTATGGTTTTAAAAGATAGGTCTTACCATTCTGTTGTATGAAATTTTCCCGTAATTAGGATCTTAGCTATGATGGGCCTACTGTTTAATTTTTTACGAACTTTATAATAAGGGGAAATAGCTTTGATTTTTACCAGAAAAATAGAATTGTTTTCTTGTACGCAAGGCTTCTGACACTGTGAGGCTGCCGTGGTCTTGTAAATGCCTCCTTTAGTTCGTTAAGTAAAATTTACTCTCATGGCTGGAGCTGACTCCCAACCTAGCCAATTATTTTAGAAATCCACCTGATGCTGTCAGCTGTCCGCTCATGCCGGAAGGACAGACACTCTCCAGAAACCATCCTCAGCCTGGGCTCTGACAGGTGTCCGTGTCTTCTGCTGAGGGGAGCAACCCTCCCTCGTGGCTCTGCTGTGCAGGTGAATCGCGTGCCCTGGCCCACAGTGCGTGGGTCCATGCTTGCAAGGTGCAGTTTCTATTCCTGACAGCCCCGTCAGCTCTGTCTCCTGTTTTACCAGATTTTTATTTTGAGTTGCTCCTTCCTGATCCTTAAATTAGGTCCTGTTTGGCCATTGTGCCTTCACAAATTCTTTTTTTTTTTTCTTGATAAGTTACTATCTTTGCTGTGTGAATTTGATCGTTTTTTCATGCATTTGGTTGCATGACTGGTTAGGGTTTTTTTTTTATTTTCTACTATTGATAATCAGGATATGTAACTTATGATTATAAAAGCAGATTTTGTTTATATACACCATCTCTGGTGTGTATTTTACAGAAGGAAAAAAACTGTTTAAAAGTCCATTTTGATTTAGTCTCCTAGAAGATGGATCCGAATCTGAAGCTGGAGGGGTCTCAGAGGCAGGGCATGGGCACAAGGGCATGGGCACAGGGACGAGGCTAGGGGTGGGGGGAGGGCCCAGGCTGGCTACAAGGGACCTGACCTGGATCCCTGGCCCCGGGGAAATCAGGCCCGCAGAGCAGCCATGGAGCTGCTCCTCCCCTCCTCCCTCCCTGCAACCTGGGCTCCTCCTGTCTTTGCATCCAGGGATGATCATGCAGGGTGCAGGTGCCTGTGCTGAGCCAGGGACTGTGCCAGGGACAAAAGCTGGACAAGGCAGGTGCCAGGCAAGTGCCCTACCTGTTGTATTACCTCTTCAGCTCCTCTCCATCACTGTCCTCTCTATTTTCTCTGACACTAAACTGAGTATCTCCTATTTTAGCATTTCCCCATGTTAGCGCCTTCCTGAGAGCTGTTTGCTTGACAGAATGAGCAATCTGCTTCTTATAGCTGTAAAGACTCTTGGTCGGGTGTGGGTGTCATGCAGGAGGGAGTTGTATTGGCTCATCTTTGAGTACCCCATAGCTAGTGTGCTGAGTATGTCTTAGAGGGTGATAACTGCATCCTCACTCCCCTGTTCTCCCTTCCCTACTTCCCCTGCCCATCCTAAAACTGAGTTTGGATCAGTCCTCTTCGTGAGTATGTAACAGATAAAATCGAATCTGTTTGCAGTGAAAAAAATGAACATTAGTAGCTTTTTTGAAATGTGATGGAGTTTTCTAGGTTGCCGTTCATTAATAGCCTGCTGGATAATGTTAAAACAAAAATGTATTGACACATTTTTATGCCTGGTTACTTTTTTAGGGCTAGGACACTGAACTGACCAACAGTACATGCATCTCACACCAGAGGGAAGCTCGAATCCTCATATTTTGCATCTATTTTGCCTTCCTGGCTGATGCGCGTGTTTAGTTTCTAACGTTCATTCCCGTCAGTGGGCCTGGGGCCCTTCTGTGTGCCAGAAGTTGTTTGTCTCCCTTGGAAGCTCCAGTGTCTGATGCTGCTGCCTCAGTGCTGGTGTGGAGTGTTTTTCTCCAGTCGGGCTCTCGCGCTGAGCTCAGACGGTCCAGAGGCCTTTCTGCCTTGGGATGCCTGTGGCTCTCTAATGCACACAGTGCTCCGAATGGGGCCATTTCCTCCACTGGGCTATCCAGGAAACATGTCCCGTCTAGCTTAGAGTCAGGAAGCCCAGCTCGGTCCTTCTCGGGCACTCTCAAGACAGGCTGCGGGTCTCCTCTGCCTCTCGCTTTCTGCACCTGCTCATGACTTCAGGGTGGTTGCAGGGCTTTAGGGAGATGATGTTTGCAGAGTACTCAGAACCCTGCCGGCAACATTGATTAAGGTCAGGAAATTCAAAAGCGTCTTAAATCAGGGTTCTCCAGAGTAGCCCACGGGTGTGGTGAGACTGGAAGCCGCTGTGGGCCCAGTTGGGTTCCTGGACAGGCCTGTAGACCCTTGGGCTGACTCACAGGACAGATGCCAGTTGGCGAGTGTAGAAGGGTTGAAGGGCACTGTCTAAAGTAGGAGCACTGCTGGATTCCATCACTTGAATTATTTAAATCCTCCAGCAGGAAGCACAGTGACTTGAATGTGGCATATGTATTTTTAGAAAGAAGAAATATTGTAGGAACCCGAAGAGGCAGTGTTCAACCTTGGGACTGAGGAGACTGGACTGCACTTGGCGTTTGAGCTTTCACCTCCATGGTATGATTCTGACAGAAGTGAACAAAAAGGGCATTTGTACCAAGAAAAAAAGCATGCCACTTTTTTTGCTGTCTTAGCTTAACCTTAGTAATAGGACCACGGGGGGGGGGGGGGGGGTTACTTTGCATTAAAAAAAAGAAAAATTAAAAAACCACATCTGAAATACTGACATGGTCACAGTGTCAAAAATAGTTGTTGTTTGAGCCACTCATATGTAGACTATATGTTAAGCAGTGAGAAAAAACTGTGTGTGTGTGTGTGTGTGTGTGTGTGTGTTTGTGTCATTTTTCCACACTAGCTTGAAGGATTCTATGGCAACATTTCCTTAGTATTTTTGTTTTCGATACCTGCTAAAAGGTAACGAGATAGCATTTTAAATTACTATTTATTTTAGCTATGCATTATTTTGTCTGTTTGAGTTAGTGAGACAAGTCTCTGCAAATGGTATTTTTTAGTTGTCAGGGATTATCATGCCTTTGTGTCTCCTCGGTTCAGCTAAATTTGAGAGAGTTGTGTTTAAGGGATAGCTTTCAACAGCTGCAATAATAATCAAGGGATATTCAAGGGATGTGCACCCAAAGATTAGTTCTGTTCCATAACAACATGCCTAAGTCCCTTTTTTGTTACATTCTCTAAACTTTTAATTTTGATATATTTAGAAAAGTTTCCAAAATAGTCCTAAATTTCTCAAGGAACCTAGTTCCATGTTCTGTCAGTGTTCACTTTTTGTGCTATTTCACTTCAGCCAGTCTCAGCTGCTTGAGATAGATGGAGACACAGTTCCATTATTTTCTCCTCAATACTTACCTGTGTTTACAAAGCACTGAAAAAGGTGAATAAAGGTCAATAAAACTTTCATTTACATAGTAAAAAAAAAATTTTTAAACCCCAAATACAAACTTTGCATTGATCTGATTCACTCCTCCTGGCCCTGCACTCAGGAATCATTACTAGTGGTGCTCAGGGACCCCTTTGTGGTGCTCAACACCCCCCTGGACCACATGCAGAGCAAGCACCTCACCCTATCTCTCCAGTCCTCAGAGGGCTTCTCAGAGACCTGGAATCCTCAGACTTCAAACCCGCTGCTTCCTTTTACCTATATTCTAGTTTGCAGAGGAAGGGTAGTGCCCAAATCAGCGCAGGCTGCAGGGATCTTGTATCTAATTACACGCGGCGCATCCCGTTGTCCCTTGTGGGCAAAGAGATGTAAATCGTGCTGAATAATCAGGCTTGCCTAACAAGGTGTGTGCACCAGTTTCCCCTGGTGGAGAGACCCAGGGGCATGTCAGAGAGGGGGCCATTGGCTGCTGAACAGCAACCTGCCCCGGGGGATGGAGCGTGAAATTGCCATTGCCAGGCTCTGCCAGGTTGATGGGGACTGGCTTAGGGTAACATACGTGATGCTGTCTCTGCTGCCAGCCGACTGCTCACACCGAGCGTCCAGGGACTCTCGGTCCCCCATGTTCCTGCCTGCTATAAAGTGTTTGGGCCTCGAGAATGGCGACTGGGCAGAAAACTGGCTGACACGTTCCAGTGAGCCCTGCTGAGGGGACATGTTTCATGGAGGGTGGGAGTGTAGGCGTCAGAAGTGGCCCGCCCTCACTTCTTGTTCTTTATGAACTTGGACAAATTCGTTTTTTAAAACCATTTATTTAAGACTGAACATTTTCAATATGGATAAATTCATCATATTTATTACACACAAAATGTTATCAGTGAGTAGTAATTCATCCCATACAGATTCATTTGGCAGAGCCTGAAAGTGTAGTATATTTTTATTCTTAAAATTTATTTCCAAAATGTTTGTTTCTCTTTCGCAAAGAAGAAATTCGAATGGCAAAAAAGGCACGTGAGAAAATGCTCTACATCACTAATCATCAGAGAGATGCAGATTAAAACCACAAGAGATATCGTTTCACACCACAGAGACTGGCCCACATCCACAAGAACAAAAGCAACAGGTGCTGGCGCGGCTGTGGTGAGAAAGGGACCCTCCTTCACTGCTGGTGGGAATGCAGGCTGGTCCAACCCTTTTGGAAAACAGTATGGACGATTCTCAAAAAATTAGAATTCGATCTCCCATTTGACCCAGCTATAGCACTCCTGGGAATATATCCCAGAGAGGCAAAAAGGTATAGTCGAAGTGACATCTGCAATTGTTTGTTCATTGCAGCACTCTTTACAATAGCCAGAATCTGGAAAAAACCTGAGTGTCCGAGAACAGATGACTGGTTAAAGAAACTTTGGTACATTTACACAATGGAGTACTATGTAGCTGTTAGAAAAGATGAAGTTATGAAATTTACATACAAGTGGTACTACATGGAAAGTATCATGTTAAGCGAAATGAGTCAGAAAGAGCGGGATAGACACAGAAAGATTGCATTCATCTGGGGAACATAAAGCAACAAAGCGGGAGACTAACACCCAGGAATGGCTCAGATCAGTACCAGGAATTTTGCTCCATGACTTGAAGGCCAGCCACATGTGCTAGGTGAAAAGGAAGCTCAGATAGAGAAGAGAACACCAAATAAAGGGTGTTGTGAAGACCCTCCCAGGGTGGGAGAGACATGCTAAAAGTAGTCTATAGACCAAACATGATTGCCACTCAATGCCTCTCTGGCAAAACACAGTACCCAAAAGAAGAGAGAGAGAATAAGGGGGAATGCCCTGCCACAGCGGCAGGGTCGGACGGGGGGGATGGGGGGATGGGGGGTGGGAGGGATGCTAGGACCCGTGGTGGGGGAGGATGGGCACTGGTGGAGGGATGGGTACTTGATCATTGTATAACTGAAACCCAAGCACAAAAATTTATAAGTCTATAAATGTACCTCATGGTGTTTCACTAATAAAAAAATGATTAAATAAAAAAAATAAAAAAATAAAAAAAGAATGTCCAGAAAAACTCCCTGACACAGAACCTCTTCCTAATTTGATTTTAAAATATTACTAAGTTCAGTGCATGCCTTCTTGATGTGCTCAGATCAAAATTACTGTATGGCTATCCCAATATCTCTAACTTCATTTCCATCACACATGTACACACAGAATACATGCATGAGTGTGCAAGCATATATGCATGCATGTGTGTGTGTGTACTGGTGGTGGTGGGGATGTCCCGGAAAGGCTAAGTTGTAGGGTATAGAGTTGGTGCAGCTTTGACTTCATCCCTCTCTCTGCCATCTGTCTGCGTGTCTCAGAAACACACCTGTGATAATCTTAATGGGTCACATTTAGGAGGTGGTATCACATGCATTTATCTATTTTTAAAAAGCAAGGCCTGTCGGATGGTGCCTGGTGCGTGCTGTGTGCGTGCGTGCGCACATGCAAATATAAACTCTCCCGTAGGGCCTGTGATAATGCCAAGCGTCAGAAGGAGCTTAAAACACAGTGAAGCTATAACACATCAAAGGCTCAGGAAATTCCAAGACAGCAAAAAGTTTTGTTTTCAGCTAGTCTAGTGTGGTCCTACTTCTGGCTGTCACCTTTTCAAATGCTTCCCTAGGCAAGGAATTATTAAAATAAAAATGTATACTTTGTGTTCGATCCTTTGATGAATATGCCGTGGCTTGAAATTGCTTTCTCTCTTCCAGGTTAATATTATTATAATGCAACACATTTGCGCGCTGGAGTTAAGGGTCTGTCAGCAATCCCTCCATAATCTCTCATTTGCAGAGGATTATAAAGCCATTAAAATCTGCTGTAGGTTGAATCCTGGCATATGACAGCGTAGCCTGAAAATGGATTTTGTTCCGTCTCTGTCTACTCTAATCCCTCTCCAACTGACAGAAACACATGTGCGTGTGCTCACACACACACACACACACACACACACACACACACATACACATGCATGCACACGTGTGCACACACACTCATAGGCTTTATTTCTTAAAGTGTTCCAGAAGGTACGAGAAGTGACATGAGCGAAGTCTGGGTGCTCAAAAGTGCCCTGTGTCTGATGTTTGCAGGGTCAGGGGGGCACTTGCAGAATCACTTGTGGTGCTGCGGACCATGGACAACTGGGAGAAGACATCCCTGGGTAGAGATCACAGCCCTTACTTATGTATCCAGAACAATGCGCTTTATAAAGCACTGAACAAAGGGCTTAACAGAAAAGTCCCGTGAGACTACAGAAATCATCACTTGGCATCGCTACTGTGAAACAAGCTCGCTTCCATGGGGTTTTGTTGTTGTTGTTGTTGGGTTTTTTTTTTTTTTTGCCTTTTTGGGTCACACCCAGTGATGCTCAGGGGCTACTCCTGGCTCTGCACTCGGGAGTGGCAGGACAGTGGGCAGGGTGCTGGTCAAGCACCCTCCAGCCTGGTGGGCGCCAGGGGGATGCAGGGAGAAAATAACAAAATGTCTTTTTAACTTTTCACTTAAGAAGGACCTATTGTGGGCTGGAGTGACAGCACAGCGGGTAGGGCATTTGCCCTGCACGCAACCAACCTTGAATCAATTCCCAGCATCCTGAGCACTGTCAGGGGTGATTCCTGAGTGCAGAGCCAGGAGGAACCCCTGTGCATCGCTGGGTATGACCCAAAAAGGAAAAAAAAAAAGGACCAATTGATACACGATGTGACGTTACTTTTTCTTGGACATCCTAGAATACTTGACCCTAATAATCTACAGGAATATTATCGTATTACATTGATGTGAAAAAAATGTAATATTCTAAGTGTAAGCTTAATTTTAAAGTTGCTTTTAAAGTAAGGGTGTCACAAAATTGATAATCGCCATTTAAAAAATGCCAATGGTGGGCTGCAGGGAAAGTAGGTGGGTAAGAAAGTAGGTGGGCACACCGGGTCTGACCCCTGATACTACCATGGTGTGGCCTCAACACAAACCGCTGAAACACCAGTGCTGTAGAAAGTGGAGGTGGTGGTATTGTGGGAATGAGTTATTTCTTTCCTTGTATTGGGAACTGTCAATGGCAAATGCAGGCAGGTGACAAAATGTCCCTACCAAGCTATGGTCTTTTCCTTCTCTCTCTCCTCTCTGATCTAGTCGCTACCTGTCACTCACTTCCTGCCCGGCTTGCGCACCCAGGGCAGCCTTTCAGGGCTTCCTCTGGAGCTCGGGGAGAGGCTGCCCACAGCACCAGAGTTCCATCTGTCGGGGCTCCTCCCTGCCCAGTGAAGCCTCCTGGCCCACAGAGCTCACCAGCCATGCACCTGGCAAGCTGGCCTCTCATCCACTCACCCCCACTGCCCACAACACCCCAGGACACCCGTTTTTTTCTCCCTTCTCCTTCCCATGGCTTGTTCAGGGTGACTTGACACTTCACATGCAGAGAAACCATCAGAAGAAGGAAGCATCCTGATACACTACTCGCACTAGGCTTCCCCTTCCCCACCCATGAATGAGGAGCACCGACCCCGTTCCTGGACCCTGCTTTAAGCATCCCTGGCCCCCACGCCCCTCCCTCTCCAGCCCCCCACAGCAGCTCTGGCATCAGAAGAGTCACGTCCCTTTCATCCTGTCTGCTTCACGCTGTAGCAGAATTCCCTCAGAAAGTCCAGTATTTCATACTCCTTTTCTCCATTTCTCTTGCTGAGGCCGCATCCTACAGTTTGGTCTTTGTCCCACGATTGCAGGAAAAGACGCTCACCAATGCACGGCCAGACTAGGTGAACCGAGTGAAAACTATTTCACCTCCTACTTTCTCAGTCTTCTCACAAGGTTCCCCTGACTCCAGAGTAGTCCCTAAGGCTGGCTTGGGCCCGCCTTGTTTCTCCCCCAACCCCCTCTTCCTTGGGCCGGTCTCTGCGGCAGAACACAGAACATAGGCACTGCATACAGCCTGAGGGAAACGCAAACTGGATCTCGGCACTACACCTGCTGAAGCAGTCCGGGGCAGAGGCGGGCGGGGGCAGTGCACAGGAGCTGTACTTCAAGTGGACTATAATGGGCTGTTATAATCACTACCCTAGGCAGCCCGACCCAATGCCCATGATCGAGACTAACTTTCTCCGTACAGCCCATGACTCCTCCCATCGCAGGCCAGCCCAGCACGCTACTGGCTGCTGCCTCCTACCCCCCAGACCTCCAGCCACTGTAGCCTCCTTCCTCTCTCCCTCCTCTCCCACTGGAAGCGGCCCCAGCGCCTCGCAGCAACAACCCCCGCCTTCCCATCCTCATCACCGCCGAGACCAGGCACCATCACTTGGGTCTGTCCTGCAGCTTGTCACTTGCCCAACTGAGTCCACCAGGCACTTCTCACCATCTAGAGGTTAAAGCATAAGATGCTGCATGAAGTCTTTGGTGCCCACATGGTGGCCACTGATATCTGGACAGCAGCTGGAGCAGGCACCAAGTACAGACTCCCTGAATATGCCTTGCCGCGGGCTTCTTTCCTTTCTGTGTTTTGGGCCACACCTGGGGATGCCCAGGGCTTAACTCGGGGGCTCCTGCATGCAAAGCAGGTGCTCTCGCCCTCTGAACCTTCTCCCTGGCCCCCATGTGGCACATTTCAAGACAATACAGCACTCTGCTGCCTGACACTTTGTGGAAGTCCCTGTAGTCTGTCTTACCGGTCCATCGAAACCAATCTTCCCTCCACATGGTCCTGTAACAGTCTTATGCTCCACAGTCCCCAAACATCCTGTATTTCCTGGTTACCATCAGGCCCCACAGTTAGGCCAATAGTGTCTTCTTACTGCCCTGAAGATTCCATAAAGGCCGGCACCGACTTGGCAGAGCCCTGGGAGACAGCAGGGATGAGCTGGCCAGGAGAAGGGTGTCATCATCTCCTCCAGCAGACCATCTCCTCAGGCCTACACTCAGTACCCCCCCCCCCCCCCCCCAGCCCCTGGCTGCCCTGTTCACTCTGCTCGCTGTGGCTCTTCGCACTGTCCAGGGGCTGTAGGAGGAATCCTTTTCGTTGTGCCACCAATTCCTTTCTCGGTAGTTTTATACGTGATATTACCAACTTTCCTCTCTTGACAGATGCCTCCTGCCCCACCCCCACGTGCCTGCAGCCCAAGTCCCACACTTTCGGTTTCTTGGTGCTCACAGGCCCACTTGCCCTAATGGCGTCTCACAGCTAGCTATGTCTAAGGCTGAGATCAGGAACAGTTCCTGGCGGAGATCCTTGTCCTGAGTTTTGGGTGACCCAATTGTGTGTGTGTGTGTGTGTGTGGTGGGGGGGGGGTCCCAGACCTGCATCTGCTCCATCCACCTGAGCAGGGGGCAGGAGTTGGTGATGAGCCCACTTCCTTGTCCAGTTCCCCACTTCTTACTCTGCTTTCCTTTTGCCTCCACAGCAATAATCTTCTTTATTCTCCACGACATCAATACTGTTACCATATTTTTGTTCCTGAATCAATTTTCTTTTTCAGATCCCCTTAAAAAGGAAGGGTTTTTCCCTCCCTTCAAAATAAAGCCCAACTTCTTGACCTAGCACTTTAGACAACCGAAAGAATGGTCCAAAGTTCTAGCTCTTCCTTTCCCTTCCCCTTCCTCCCAGGCCTTCCCTACAGCTAAGCTGCTCACTGGTCCTGCCACCTCTACTCCTTTTCTAGCTCTCGAGAGAATGACTTACTTATTGTTACCCATTTTCCAACTTCAACCGGGGCCACTACAAAGGCCCCTTCCCTAAGGCCTCCCCTCCTGGTGGCTGCTGTGCGGTGCTGGGCGCTGCGTGGCCGTGGAAG